ACACACACACACACACACACACACACACAACACACACACACACACAACACACACACACACACAACCACACACACACACACACAACACACACAACACACACACACACACACACACACACACACACACACACACACACACACACACACACACACACACAACCACACACACACACACACACACACACACACACACACACACACACACACACACACACACACACACACACACACACACACACACACACACACACACACACACACACACACACACACATACCACACACACACACACACACACACACACACACACACACACACACACACACACACACACAACACACACACACACACACACACAGAACCACTCAGACAGAACCTCAGGTGTGTCTGGAACATTGACTCCGCCCCTCTGTCTCAGGACCAATCGCAGCCTGTGTGGCCCAGTGGGACTCCGCCCCCTGCCCTCGGACTTCCAGCCGACCAATGAGACGCTGCCGTGCGCGCGGCCGGAGGAGGAGCAGGAAGTGACGTCGCCGCAGGACGACGACGCGTTCGTGTCACGTGATCAGTTGGGGGCGGAGCTCGTCACACTGAGTCTCCTCCCAGAGTCAAGATGGAGGACGCTGCTGCAGCTGGACGCCATCAAGGTCACGCTCTGACCCCTGACCCCCCCCCTGACCCCTGACCCCCCGACCCCCCCAACCTCTGACCCTCCTGACCCCTCTGACCTCTGACCCTGTGTTCTGTTTTCAGAAGCGGAACAAACCGTTGGCGCCTCCTGTGGCTCCGCCCACCGCGCCCTTCTTCTTACCCACAATCCCCGGCCTCACGCCTCAGTTCAGTGTTCCCACGGCAACGGACGCCGACGCCCAGGTGACACGGAACATGGTTTAGTCCTGGTTTAGTCCTGGTTTAGACCTGGTTTAGACCTGGTTTAGTCCTGGTTTAGACCTGGTTTAGACCTGGTTTAGACCTGGTTTAGTCCTGGTTTAGTCCTGGTTTAGTTCTGGTTTAGACCTGGTTTTGGTTTAGACCTGGTTTTAGTCCTGGTTTAGTTCCTGGTTTAGTCTGGTTTAGACCTGGTTTAGTCCTGGTTTAAGACCTGGTTTAGTCCTGGTTTAGACCTGGTTTAGTCCTGGTTTAGTTCTGGTTTAGACCTGGTTTAGTCCTGGTTTACCTGGTTTAGACCTGGTTTAGACCTGGTTTAGACTGGTTTAGTCCTGGTTTTAGTCTGGTTTAGACCTGGTTTAGTCCTGGTTTAGTTTTCTGGTTTAGACCTGGTTTAGTCCTGGTTTAGTCCTGGTTTAGTCCTGTTTAGTCCTGGTTTAGTCTGGTTTAGTTCTGGTTTAGTAGTCCTGGTTTAGTCCTGGTTAGTTCTGGTTTAGTCCTGGTTTAGTCCTGGTTTAGTTCTGGTTTAGTTCTGGTTTAGTTCTGGTTTAGTCCTGGTTCAGTCCTGGTTTAGTCCTGGTCTAGTTCTGGTTTAGTCCTGGTTTAGTTCTGGTTTAGTCCTGGTTTAGTCCTGGTTTAGTTCTGGTTTAGTCCTGGTTTAGTTCTGGTTTAGTTCTGGTTTAGTCCTGGTTTAGTCCTGGTTTAGTTCTGGTCTAGTTCTGGTTTAGTTCTGGTTTAGTCCTGGTTTAGTCCTGGTCTAGTTCTGGTTCAGTCCTGGTTTAGTTCTGGTTTAGTCCTGGTTCAGTTCTGGTCTAGTTCTGGTCTAGTTCTGGTTTAGTTCTGGTTTAGTTCTGGTTTAGTCCTGGTTCAGTCCTGGTTTAGTTCTGGTTTGGTCCTGGTTCAGTCCTGGTTTAGTTCTGGTTTAGTCCTGGTTTAGTCCTGGTTTAGTTCTGGTTTAGTCCTGGTTTAGTTCTGGTTTAGTCCTGGTCTAGTTCTGGTTTAGTCCTGGTTTAGTTCTGGTTTAGTTCTGGTTTAGTCCTGGTTTAGTTCTGGTTTAGTTCTGGTTCAGTCCTGGTTTAGTTCTGGTTTAGTTCTGGTTTAGTCCTGGTTTAGTTCTGGTTCAGTCCTGGTTCAGTCCTGGTTTAGTTCTGGTCTAGTCCTGGTCTAGTCCTGGTCTAGTTCTGGTTTAGTCCTGGTTTAGTTCTGGTTTAGTCCTGGTTCAGTTCTGGTTTAGTTCTGGTTTAGTTCTGGTTTAGTTCTGGTTTAGTCCTGGTTTAGTCCTGGTTCAGTCCTGGTTCAGTCCTGGTTCAGTCCTGGTTTAGTTCTGGTTTAGTCCTGGTCTAGTTCTGGTTTAGTTCTGGTTTAGTCCTGGTTCAGTCCTGGTTTAGTTCTGGTTTAGTCCTGGTTCAGTTCTGGTTTAGTTCTGGTTTAGTTCTGGTTTAGTCCTGGTTCAGTCCTGGTTTAGTTCTGGTTTAGTTCTGGTTTAGTCCTGGTTCAGTCCTGGTTTAGTCCTGGTCTAGTCCTGGTCTAGTTCTGGTTTAGTCCTGGTCTAGTCCTGGTTTAGTCCTGGTCTAGTCCTGGTCTAGTTCTGGTTCAGTCCTGGTTTAGTTCTGGTTTAGTTCTGGTCTAGTTCTGGTTCAGTCCTGGTTTAGTCCTGGTTTAGTTCTGGTCTAGTCCTGGTCTAGTTCTGGTTCAGTCCTGGTTTAGTCCTGGTTTAGTTCTGGTCTAGTCCTGGTCTAGTTCTGGTTCAGTCCTGGTTTAGTCCTGGTTTAGTTCTGGTCTAGTCTGGTCTAGTTCTGGTTTAGTTCTGGTTCAGTCCTGGTTTAGTTCTGGTTTAGTCCTGGTTAGTTCTGGTTCAGTCCTGGTTTAGTCCTGGTTTAGTTCTGGTTCTAGTCCTGGTCTAGTTCTGGTTTAGTCCTGGTTTAGTTCTGGTTTAGTCTGGTTTAGTCTGGTCTAGTTCTGTTTGGTTTAGTTCTGGTTTAGTCCTGGTTTAGTTCTGGTTTAGTTCTGGTTTAGTCCTGGTTAGTTTGGTTTAGTTCTGGTTAGTCCTGGTTCAGTCCTGGTTGGTTTAGTTCTGGTTTAGTCCTGGTTCAGTCCTGGTTTAGTTCTGGTTTTAGTTCTGGTTTAGTTCTGGTTTAGTTCTGGTTTAGTCCTGGTTTAGTCTGGTCTGGTTTAGTCCTGGTCTAGTCCTGGTTAGTTCTGGTTTAGTCCTGGTCTAGTCCTGGTTTAGTCCTGGTTAGTTTCTGGTTCAGTCCTGGTTTAGTTCTGGTTTAGTTCTGGTTTAGTCCTGGTCTAGTTCTGGTTCAGTCCTGGTTTAGTCCTGGTTTAGTTCTGGTCTAGTCCTGGTTAGTTCTGGTTTCAGTCCTGGTTTAGTCCTGGTTTAGTCTGGTCTCTGGTCTAGTCTGGTTCCTGGTTTAGTCCTGGTTTAGTTCTGGTTAGTCCTGGTTAGTTCTAGTTCTGGTTCAGTCCTGGTTTAGTCCTGGTTTAGTTCTGGGTTTAGTCCTGGTTTAGTTCTGGTTCAGTCCTGGTTTAGTCCTGGTTTAGTTCTGGTTTAGTTCTGGTTTAGTCCTGGTTTAGTTCAGTTCCTGGTTTAGTCCTGGTTTAGTTCTGGTTTCAGTTTGTTTAGTCCTGGTTTAGTCCTGGTTTAGTTCTGGTTTAGTCCTGGTTTAGTCCTGGTTTAGTCCTGGTTTAGTCCTGGTTAGTTCTGGAGTTCTGGTTTAGTTCAGTCCTGGTTTAGTCTGGTTTAGTCCTGTTAGTTCTGGTCTAGTCTGGTTTTCTGGTTCAGTCCTGGTTTAGTCCTGGTTTAGTTCTGGTCTAGTCCTGGTCTAGTTCTGGTTCAGTCCTGGTTTAGTCCTGGTTTAGTTCTGGTTTAGTTCTGGTTTAGTCCTGGTCTAGTTCTGGTTCAGTCCTGGTTTAGTCCTGGTTTAGTTCTGGTCTAGTCCTGGTCTAGTTCTGGTTCAGTCCTGGTTTAGTCCTGGTTTAGTTCTGGTTTAGTTCTGGTTTAGTCCTGGTTTAGTCCTGGTTTAGTCTGCTGGTCTAGTTCTGGTTCAGTTCTGGTTTAGTCCTGGTTTAGTTCTGGTCTAGTCCTGGTCTAGTTCTGTTTAGTTCTGGTTTAGTTCTGGTTTAGTCCTGGTCTAGTTCTGGTTAGTTCTGGTTCAGTCCTGGTTTAGTTTCTGGTTTAGTTCTGGTTTAGTTCTGGTTTAGTCCTGGTTTAGTTCTGGTTTAGTCCTGGTTTAGTTCTGGTTTAGTTCTGGTTTAGTTCTGGTTCTGGTTTAGTCCTGGTTTAGTTCTGGTTTAGTCCTCTGGTTTAGTAGTCCTGGTTTAGTTCCTGGTTTAGTCCTGGTTTAGTTCTGGTTCAGTCCTGGTTTAGTTGGTCTAGTCTGGTTCAGTCCTGGTTTAGTTCTGGTTTAGTTGTTCTGGTTTAGTCCTGTTTAGTCCTGGTTTAGTCCTGGTTTAGTTCTGGTTTAGTTCTGGTTTAGTTCCTGGTTTTTAGTTCTGGTTTAGTCCTGGTTTAGTTCCTGGTTTTCAGTCCTGGTTTAGTTCTGGTTTAGTCCTGGTTTAGTCCTGGTCTGGTTTAGTTCTGGTTTAGTCCTGGTTAGTCTGGTTTAGTCCTGGTTTAGTTCTGGTTTAGTTCTGGTTTAGTCCTCTGGTTTAGTTCCTGGTTTAGTCTGGTTCTGGTTTAGTCCTGGTTTAGTCCTGGTTTAGTTCTGGTTCAGTCCTGGTTTTCTGGTTTAGTCCTGGTTTAGTCTGGTTTAGTTCTGGTTTAGTCCTGGTTTGGTTTAGTCCTGGTTTAGTCCTGTCTAGTTCCTGGTTTAGTTCTGGTTCAGTCCTGGTTTAGTTCTGGTTTAGTTCTGGTTTAGTCCTGGTTTAGTTGGTTTAGTTCTGGTTTAGTAGTCCTGGTTTAGTCCTGGTTTAGTTCTGGTTTAGTCCTGGTTCAGTCCTGGTTTAGTCCTGGTTTAGTTCTGGTTTAGTTCTGGTTCAGTCCTGGTTTGACTCTCAGCTAATCACGTGCTTCTGTCTGATCACATGATGCAGTCGAAGGTGGTGACCTGGGGCGCTCTGGGTCAGAGGTCAGAGTTCAGCCGTGCACTGGAGGACGCCGCGACCTCCGGAGACTGTGAGTGACCCCTGACCCCCGACCCCAAAGGTCAGGGGTCATCAGTTCAAACTTCCTTCTGTTTCAGTCGCACTTCCTGTTTCGCTGCTGAGGAAAAGTGGGCCGTCCTTCGTCTCCTTGGAGATTTCTGACCTATCGGCCAAAGGGGGCGTGGCCTTCCTCCGGATGATTGACGGCATGCTGCGGAGTGGGCGGGACTTCGACCTGGCGCACGGTTACCTCGCCCTCTTCCTGAAGGTTCGGCCAATCAGAGCGCGGCTCGGAGCGTCTTTGTCGTTCTAAACGTTTGTTCTTTGTTCTCCAGACTCACCTGAGGAACGTGTCACGTGACCCCGTCGCCGTGGAGACGCTGCTCCGCCTCTCCCCTCGCCTGGAGCAGGTGTGGGCGGAGCTTAGAGCCTCGTTGGACCAATCCCTGTGTCTGCTGTCGTACGCCAAGAGCGCCCTGATTTAGTACAGAGCGAGAGACCCCGCCCCCGCCGAGAGCGAGAGACCCCGCCCCGCCGAGAGCGAGAGACCCCGCCCCCGCCGAGAGCGAGAGACCCCGCCCCCGCCGACAGCGAGAGACCCCGCCCCCGCCGAGAGCGAGAGACCCCGCCCCCCCCCCCCCCCGCCGAGCGAGAGACCCCGCCCCCGCCGAGAGCGAGAGACCCCGCCCCCGCCGAGAGCGAGAGAGACCCCGCCCCCGCCGCTTTAGTTTGGAGTCTTTTTGTGTTTAATAAAAGAAAAATCTGTAACTTGACTCAGTTTTCCACTTTAAACTCCCGAGACACACGGGCCTCCTGACCCCGCCCACGGGCCTCCTGACCCCGCCCACACTGTACCTGCTCTTTAAATGTTTTGTGAAAAATAAATGTTTTTGTACCTTTCATGTTTTCCTGTTGTTCTTCACAAACATGAACTTTTACATGGTACGAGGCTCCGCCCACAATTCTCCATAAATACACGACACAAAACTGAACAGAGCGACTGGACAAACCTGACGCTCTGAAGGGGGAGGGACTCAGCACAGAGAGAGAAGAGGAACAACTCAGAGCGACAAAAACTAAAGTGAAACTTAGAAAACATTTTCAAACAATAAAAGGAACAAAACGACAAAAATACGACAAACCCCAAACCCAAACCCAAACCCCAAACCCCTCTAATGCCCCAGAGTAAAAACCCCAGAGTAAAAACCTCAGAGTAAAAACCTCAGAGTAAAAACCTCAGAGTAAAAACCTCAGAGTAAAAACCTCAGAGTAAAAACCTCAGAGTAAAAACCCCAGAGTAAAAACCTCAGAGTAAAAACCTCAGAGTAAAAACCTCAGAGTAAAAACCTCAGAGGACTTCCGGTCCTGTCTGGACAGACAGGTGCGCTCCTGCTCTGATATTTTCTGAGTTAAATCCTGTTGCACATTTCATTTTAACACCAGCGCTCGGATCGTTGTCTTTGATAAGGAGAGACAAAACCAACGAAGAGGAAAACTGTAACACAGTCGAAGCTTTTCTGACTTCGGGAAAATCTGTCGAGCTAAAACCGAGCAAAGAAGCAACGAGCCAAACTAAAGCCACAGCACCGCCCCCGCGGCAGCTCAACTGAACTCAAACTCTTTAAGGACGAAATCCTGAAGGCGACGTGGGACTTAAAGCAAGAGTTTAACGGTAAACTGAATGTCTTTCTAAAGGCATCAGAGGAAACGAACAAACAAGTCAGTGACTGCACCAACAGGATCGGACAAGCGGAGGCGCGTCTCTGCGGTTCAGGACGAGTGCGGCTCACTCAAGGACAGGCTGGAAAAGTTGGAAAAGAGGAACCGGGTCCTGGAGGATAAGTTCATTGACATGGAAACCAGATCGCGCTTGAATAACGTACGACTCGTGGGAGAGACAGAGGGAGCGCAGGGCCCGGACTCCTGCTCGTGATACCAGATGTGCTGGATATGACACCGAGCCAAGAGAAGCACAGGACGTCCACCAAGATCTAATCATGAAGTTCCTCAAATATAAACAGAAAGTCGCCGTGATGAAAGCTGCAAGAACGAAGGGGGACGTCCTCTACAAGAAGATCAGCGTGCGGCTCTGCAGACACAGAGGAGGCAGTGTGGTTCAGTGCGACTGGGACTGAGGCATGGATCCAGACCACCTGCTGCTGCTGGGAACATACAGAGAACGAACGCTCACATTTAACACGGCGTCACAAGTGCAGGAGTTCATCCACCGCGCTGAAGGGGACAGTTCTGATCAGTGAGGTTAAGATGCACTGCAGTGTCTGTTATTTCATTAACGTCCTGTTCTGTCCTTAAAGTTTAAAAGTTAAAGCTGTGCACATCATGTTTATTGTCCCTGCTGGAATTTGGTTTGGCATTTTTATATTAGAGCACAATAATCTAATCTATTATTAATAAAAAATAAAAATAAAAAGCAGGGGAGCTTTTGAAGTTAGCGATTTTTTTGTCTTTCTTTTTCCACCAACGGTGCCAGAACAGTTAGGGGCATTGATCTGGGTTTGGGATTTAT